AAGTAGAATTAAAGTGACAAATGAGCACAGTACATACACATGTTACTACGACATTGGATTGTGTGTCGATGTATTAATGTATAGGTGCTAGAAGGCGATCATATAGCACTTGAAATGGAGTTTGATGAATGGTCGTGTTGTATGGTGTTTTATAAGAGTAGTTAATCCGGAAGTAATGATGACCAATTCAAAATGTTATCCATTGTAATGCAACGAATGTATTGCTCTATGGCTCTAGTAAATTCTTTAAGCCCAACGGTCCCTGGGTGAACAATCGTGCTTTAATGCAATTTCTTGCGCATTACTTTGAAGGGCTCCTTCCAAAAAGTGCTTAAAAAGATTGTCTCAATAAGTTGTGATGGAGGAGGACCAGAGATTTTGTAAACATTTCTACTGAATTATCTTAAATAACTTTTTATGTTGTTTTAATATTTTTTTAGGCTTTATGATTTTGCATGAGATGGATACAAGAAGAAAATTGTTTATAAAAGACAAAAACAACAACCATAAAGACATTTATTTTATTTAGTCAATTAAATTGTTTTCTTGAGTGGCTCTTCCAATTAACATATGGATATTAAATCATTGGTGATAGAAATAGAAAAATTAAATTAAAAAACTTAATTTCACAATCTAATCTTCTGTTCCCCCCTCTTAGTTAATTCTAAGCTTTGTGCCAGGTCGTTACAAGAATGTCTTCATCACAATATCATTAAAACAAGACGAACGGTGTGGGACAAAGCTTGCAACAACATCAAAGTTATGAAAAGGTAATTCCTACTACAATGATTGAGAAACTTAGATTGATAACAAAAGTACATCCACATTTTTATCAACTTGCATGGCTTAAAAAGGGAAATGAGCTCCAAGTTACTAGACAATGTCTAGTATGATTATCATTTCACCTAAAGTTCCAAGAGGATATCATTCCCATGGATGCTTGTCATTTATTGCTTGAGAAACCGTGACAATATAGCCACCGGATCAACCTTAATGGTTATACCCAAGCCTACTTCTATTAAGAATGGAAGACAAATTACTTTGATTCCAATGAAAGAGTGGAACAATGTTAGAAATAACAGTTTGGTTTTTTCAAACAGCAATTCGACTGCTACAAACAACAGCTTGGATGCTACATTCTTACAATAAGTGTTGAAGGATACAAAGAAGGGTTATTCCTTGCGGATTTCAGAAAATTGGGACTGTCGGGCAGGGATTCTAGCAGCACAATAGTTTGACATTTTTCTAAAGGAAACTTCACTTAGTTTCCTTCTTTGTGGGAAATACAACATGCCATTGAACTCAAACTTGGTTCGATCATTCCTAACCATTCATGCTATAGGATGTCACCAAGGGAACTCTGTCACCGCTATCCAAATGCAATCAGGGTAAATTTGTTTTGGAGTGCTTGGTGGCAACATACTTGCTTTGAAAGCAATGTGATTGCTCAGATGTCCTAAAACTTTGCATCTAGGGAAAGGACAACCTGGGATGGCTTTTTCCAAGCTTTTCACTATTCATCCTACATTAAGCACTATAGGTATTTATAATTCCTCATATGATAATGGTTCTCAAAAGATATCTATATACCATGATATATTGTTTGAACTTAACATTGTTAAGTGTCATATATATCGTGTTGTAATTAAACACTCTTATTTTCAAACATTGACATTAAAGTGCACTAACATGGCGTATGCATAACTTAGTTGCCCTCAGTTGCATGCATTGAATTTGTCGTCCTGTCACAGGTTACCTGATTCTGGAATTCACTCAAGAGCTATATCATGTGCTTTGTGGTATCATTTGATGTTTTTTTTGTTCATTTATTAAAATTGAGACAATGTATGAATCTGCTCTTACTAGTTCTATTATATGTATCTGATTTAACTAATCACTACACAAAAGACTTAGACATTGGACAATAAAAAAGGAATTCTCCAACCTTGGGCGAATGATGCGAGAGTAATCCAGTATATTCCTAGTATTTGTTTTTAGTTTCTTTTATGTTTTTTTTTTCTTTTAAAAAGGTATAGTGGTCTTTTTAGACTGTCCAAGTGTATTCCTACCTAGATCGTAAATAAGGTAGGCTTCTTTAATAAAAAACGAACTATTGGGTGATCATTTTTAGCTCTTTCTTTGTGCCAAGGGTGGGGTATCCTCAGGAAACTTGTTGTTTGGTCTGTAACTAGGGTTCGATCCTCCCTGAGATTAACCATGGAGCTTATTATTTGTTGTCAAGGATCGACACCTGCTACCAACAGCTTCAAATTTCAATTCCATAATATAAATAACTACTTAAACAAGTGTCTTCCTTATTGTGCCACTATCATGTGAGGGAGCTTTAAAATGGTATCATCAGGTTAAGAAATTCCAAAAATCCTAAATTTTTTTGAGATTTGTCCTTTCTGACCCAAATTCAAAATTTTTAAAAAAATTTTCATATCATACCCCAATCATTCCTATCACAATTCCTACTCCAACCCCTAAGTTTTCAAAATCCAACTTTTTCACCCTTACACCTACCACCAAAAACATAAGCCTTAGACAAACCTTGATTTGCATTCCTACACCAGCCAAAAACTTGATCAAGCGGAAAGGATGCCTTGCAGCCAAGGAGGAACCCTCAATGAAATGTCTTCCAACTTACTATGGAGGATATGTTGCGTGAAATCTTTCAATTGCAAAAGAAGCTTGCCGCCTTCGAGAGGAGACAATCCAGAAATGTTACTCACTGCATGTCGGTGACTATCGACATTGAAAGGAGAAAGCAAATCCCTTCCACCAGGCAATTTCGAGTGATGAAAAACCACTACCTTGATGATTGGACGTGAATAATAAAGAAGCAAGAATCTGAGTAAAAATAAATTTATTAGATTTCGACAGTCACATAAATACAAATAAGATTATCAATTCAGAAAAAAATACTTTATTGTGGTTGGAGAGCCTGAAACATCTTCGACACCAGAAAGTGAATAATAAGATCAACACCTGGTCTAAAATGAAACAGAAGATGCGGTACAAATACCTTTCGCAGCATTACTAATAGGATATGTTCATTAAACTCAACCACCTACGCTAGAGAGATTCTTCTAACGAGTACAAAATTGAATTTGATGAACTTATACTAATTTTTGAGTAGGTGAAATCAAAGGAGCACAAAAAAACGAGATACTCTGATTAAATGCCCCATAATAAACACAAATGCCAAGTGCCATCTTTTTTTTTTAACTAAAAGACTTTGTGATGAGAATGGACTTGTGCTTGTGCGAATAAAGCCTTGCAAAAGAATTTCCTAAATCAATGTTGCAAGTGCTGATTATGGGAAATGAGGATATCGGTATATAGTTTGATGTTAATGGGTGGCGTTCCCGATCTAAGGCAGACTTTGTGATCGTTTGCTCGAGGAAGTAAGGTTTTTTATTATCAATGGTGGTTGGAAGTATGTATTGAGTAGTGGTTGTAGACGTAGTAGTGATTGTAGCTAGCTAAAATAGAGAAGAAATAGCACCAAAATGCATCAGTTTTCTCAACTGATAAAAATTAATTAGTTCCAATGGTGGAGCACGCATTCCATTAGTTCATCTGGGTGTTTTTCCACTATAATTTCATAGGTAGTTTGTAGTAATTAGTGGTGACATCGACCAATTATTACAGCCACTACACTCCAAGAATGTCATCAGCACCTTCTATCGGCAATATGTAGAGGTCGATTGTAACTAAATGGCTTTGATGATGGAACTGAAAATTAACACATCGTTGTTGTAGATGTTTAACCAAGCAATCTTCAAGTTATGGGTGGAGCCGCCATCAATGAATATGTTAAGGTGCCCTTAATGCGAATGGTGTTCGGAAGGGGTTGTTCGGTTAAAGTATGAATTGTGATTGCTGGCCAGGGTTCTTATTAGATTTGTGAGGTTTCAGTAGGAGTAGTGGTGCTGATTTCATTGGAACTGAGATCGGATCATGTTGTGTCATAAACATCCTCTTAGATAATTCACTATGGATGAACTTCTCATAGTTATAGCATAATCCTTTTTTTTTTACGAGCTAACATTTCCACGGTTGACGGTCGGCGAACTGGAAATTCGTATGAAATGGCAGTTGTTCTCAGTTGAGATGGTGGACGGTCGAAAATGGAGTGATCATCATTGAATTTAACTTCAATAAATTTTGCCAGTTCAATTGCTTGATCCAGAGATGTAGGGCGACGAATACGTATTTTCTTAAGGATATGGATTTGAAGGCCTGATTCAAAACAACTCCAAACAAAGCACCAAAGTGATAGAAGCCAATCAGTATCTCTCCAGTTGCTTTCCAAACGAATTCCAAGAATTTATGAAGCAAGAAGATGTAGGTTGTGGGAGCCAAAATTCTAATGCCCGAACGAAACTGATACACACCAACCTGCAAAACTAGAAAAAAGAGGGTATTGTGGCAATGTTCGAGCCTTCCCGAAGCCCCAGGAGAACATGGAGAGGAGAGACAGGGGGGATAGGAACCAGAGAATGGGAAAAAAATATTGCAGCAGCTACCTCCCATTCCATTTCTATAATTATATTTTCTATATAACCCAACATTTCCCAGGTAACCAATATGGCTAGGAGACCTGGCTGCTTGCTAAAACAAATCCTAGGAAACTTGAAACTGACAGAAGTATATTCCTGAAGTGATATATATACTAATTATAAGAATTTTCAGCAAGTTGGATGATGCCTTTTTTTCTCATAATGAAGTTTTTGTGCCATGCTGGTCTTTTCCTGCTGCTTGTTAGCCACATTCTCACTTCCATTATTGGTCTTAACAAAAAACATAATAGGATCAACGAAGACATGATTTAAGATAAGGACATAGAAAACATCACCGTCCTTCCAATTTCTTACACAGCAGGAAATTCCTTGTATATAGATTAAATATCCTCACCAAGGGCTAAAAGAGAGAGAGACCAGGCAAGGCCCAACAAACATAAGGAATTTTTAATATCAAAAATGACATTAGCTCTTAAAATAAATATAGTAGCCTTGATATAACTGCATAATAAATCCTAAAAAAAGTGAAAACTATAACACAACAAAACAAGAAAAAAAGGAGTTGAGTATACATAAAATTCCTAATAAAAGTAAACTATGGCATAAAATAGGAACGAACTAGGATTTTGTTATGTTTGTGACCATGGGACAATGCTGTGCGACAATGGATTTAACCATAAGCTGCATCAATGAAATAAAGTTAGTAAAGTGAAAGCTATAAATTCAGTTATATCTAATTAGAAAATGACTTGATACATAATGAAGAATCCCATACTCACCACAATTAAGTTATCATGCTTGGGAACTTCGGGTTTCGCTTAGCTCTGCACTTAACATGTGATGAAGAAGAATGTCAACAGCTCGGCTCCGTGTCTTTAAGCTACATCACAATAAAATAATATTTTTATGCTTCTCTAGAGGAACTACGGTCAAACCCTCTAAATTACTTGATGACAGGTTTATACCCAGTAAGCCGACGACGGTCATTCCTGGCCAAAGCATCCTGATGTTGTAAATGTCATTACAAAGGATGGAAAATGGAAAGCTTTAAACAAATAAAAAGCTGAACAATATTTTTGCATAACAATTAATTAAAATATTGATGCAAGGTTAATTCTAAGTCCTCACACATACAGAGAAAAGGGCATAGTAAATCTTTTATATATATATATTTGAAAACAGCCCAAGGGCTAATATATTAAAGAGAAAATATACAAATATGTTGTATAGGCGGGCCTAAAAGTAGGCACCAAACCCAAACGATACAACACAGAAAAAAAGTTAAAAAGGAGTACAAATAAAAATTAAAAAAAGCCCAAAACCACCAGGGCGCTAAAAAAGAGGGTCATCCCAATCTAGTCCTGCCTCTGGCTCTGGTTCTCGGAAGGAATCCTGCTAACAGATTAGAAAGGTGCATAACATTACCCGAAGTAACCAAAGTATCATCCATAAGACTCTTGAGCTTAAGTAGATGTTCATTTTTCTTCTTCCTCCTGGAAGTAAACCTGTCATTCCTCATCCAAAGAATCAGTCTGATGAGGTGGTAGAGCTGAAGCAGAAGGATTACCAACCGTAGTACCCACAATAGATTCTAGTATATTTGAATTTTGAGTTGCCTCTACACCGGATAATTCCTAAAGGAGGGGAGCTGCGAGGTTCTCCTGATTATCAGTTTGGATAGTACCCTTTGTAGGCAATGTTCCATCAGTATTGTTTTCTATGGAGTTTGAAGGTTCCAGCATCACATCATTCACAGTAATAGTAACAGCAGTGTCATTGGGGGGGTCCACAGAGGCAACAGACACCTCCTGTCTAGTAGTATCGTCCACAGGTGAAACTAAAATGTCCAGAGCAGTGGGATATATATATTATATATATATATATATATATGTGTGTGTGTGTGCTCATAACACCCACTATTATTGAAGATGATTTACTTACACGCCAAGACACATGTGAGTGCTCCTTTGATCCAATAACAGATCAGCCGGTACATGCACTTGCTTCTAATGTCCAACAATCTGCACATATCCCCAGCACACTTTAGATTAAGATCAAGTGAGTCAATCTTCGGAAGAGGAATGACAGGTCTATTCCAGGAGAAAGAAGAAGAATGAAGGCCGATTCCAGCTCGGGAACATATTGGATGATACATTGGTTACTACTGGCAATAGCAATCATCTTACCAACCTATTAGCTTGCTCCTTTCTTAAAACCAGAGGAAGAGGCAAAACCAAATTGGGTTGATCTCTATCCACCTGATACTATGTATTTATGCATTTGTCGGGTTTTTTTTTTTCTTTATGTCTCTAATGTACTTTTCAGTATTTTCTAGTTGTGGAATCCCTTGTGGTTTTTGTGTGAGCAAGGTACCATGCTTGAGCCCTCCATCACATTGTATCTGTATCTTTCTCTCTAGTTAATATATTAGTTTTTTTGGGCTTTTAAATATATATATATATATATATATATATGTATATGTATCTATATATGTATGTATATGTATCTATATATGTATGTATATGTATCTATATATGTATGTATATGTATCTATATATGTATGTATATGTATCTATATATGTATGTATATGATATGTATCATGTATGTATATGTATCTATATATGTATGTATATGTATCTATATATGTATGTATATGTATCTATATATGTATGTATATGTATCTATATATGTATGTATATATATATATATATATATATGTTCTTAGCTTCAAGCACAAGACACATTTAAGGCAATATGAATGCCCAATATTCGAGAAATTACATAACATCATAATCACTATCCCAAGTGAATTCATGTACTAAAAATGAAATAGCTACATCACCTATTTATATGTTAAATTCAAAACATTACTAAATAAATTATTTTAAATAAGAAATATAATACTACTAAATTTTATAGCAAGAATAAAAAAAGAATAAACTTAACTTTCACCACTATTTATTTTATCATTTTCATCATCGATACTCTCATATTTATTATTGAATGCATAATTATAGATCGTTGTGTTAGTTTTCCTCGAGCTTATATTCTTCACCATGGGTTCTACTACTTTATAACTTTGAGTTCTACCACTTACATTGGATCAAATTGTACTTTAAGTACTCATCTCACAAGTCAAAGTGTTTGCCCACTGCTTGAACCAACACAACAAGCAGCTCGCTTAGGTGTACCTAAAAAATGAAACCAACTAAAGTTTGTAAAGTGTTTGCCTCATCTTGATCAATCTCCAAGGCAAGCGCCGAACTGTCCTTTAACAACATGGACAACAAATACTTTCTAAATGCACTTCTATTCTCAAGCATACAAATATCAATCTTCACTAGGTGACATTTTAACAAAAAAACAGCTTATTAAGCTTCAAGATTTTTCAAATTCATTAGCGCCATTAGCATCATATTAGCCTTCATTAGGTGCTAATGTTGTTTGGAGTCTTTTCTCTTTCTTTACTCCAATGTGGAGAACTCTAGCCTATTTTTCAATTGGAGGATCTATATTTTGAAGAGTATAGGTAGGGTTGTGAATTTAGCTCGAATATCATTAATCGCTAGAAGATTGATTCGAATTTTGGTTCAAATCGAGATCAACCAAATTTTTTGATCGAATTTTTTTTCAGCCAATTTTGAATCTACCCCAGCTTAGTTCGAAATAGCCAGCTCGAAATCAGATTGTTAACAACATATGAATTTGAGTTTAGTAAATTTAGCTCGAAGATTGTTAATATTTCAAAAGTTGATTCGAATTTTGGCTCAAATCAAAATAAACGAGCCGAGCTCAAGCCAAAATCTTGGATCAATTTTTTTTCGAGTCGATTTGAGCCGACCTCAGCTCAGATCGAGGGTGGATCGTTAACAAGCCTAAGTAAAGGCGATGAAACCTCCACCTCGTCCATATTTTGCCAAACTATTCCGATTTGTTGGCCAAAATTAGTGTTCTCTATTCCTCAACCACCGTCGTCATTTCTACTTATGTTTCCCATCCTACAACTAATAGTGGAATTAACCCAAACCATAATAACAGAAACAAACATTATTAAGCAAGAGCAATTAGGGTTATAATCAGGACTCAAATGGAAATGAAAACACAACAAAACATTAATATCCAGCTAGGGCCGAGAAGGAACATCCAGGGATAGTGGTGTCAAGGGTTAGTGGTTGGCTGTTGAGTAGGGATAGGATGGTGGTGGATGGGTAGAGACAAGGAAGGTTGGGTGGCTGGCGGTTGTAGACAGGGAGAAGAAGAGGGTCTTGGGTGGTCGATGGAGGAAAGTAGCAGTGAGGTTGGTAGTGTGAAATAGGGATGCAGAGAGACAACAAGTGGGGCAGGGACTGGGAACATGGGGGGGAGTGGAGGTGGCAGCAGGCCGATGGCTGTAAGCTGGAAGGGCAGGAGCTAACTGTAGGACAACAGCTAGGCATAGGTTTGTGTGGGGGAAGTAGGTAGACGACGTCACCACCTCGAACCAAGAAATAGTAGGAGCACCACTTATTCTCAAATACAACCCTAACAAGGAAAAACAACAGAAGGTAGAAATATGAAATAAGAAAACCAGGAATAAATATTAAAACAAACAGGCAACCCATATATAAAAGTAGGTAGAATAAGAGGGGGGAGGAAGGATGGCAAATCTCGCTCAGTGGCTTAGTCGGCCAATCCAGTCTCTCTGTTGGAGTAGCAACCCTTGTTGAATCGGTTAAGCCAGTACGTTAAACCCAATAAACCACCCCCACCCCCCCCCCCCCCACCCCGCGCGAGGTTGGGGGGCCTTTGACTTAATTTGTCGAAGCTGTTGGTTCCTCATAGAATGATGTCAAGTTCGTGAATGTGAACGTAATAGAAACATTGAATTCTCTTGGCAGATCAATCTTATAAGTGTCGTCATTCAACTTTCAGAGTATTCAGAAAAGTCCATCTGCTACGGGTTTGAGTTTTCTAAATGCACCTACTGAAAATCTTTCTTTCATCAGGCGGATCCACAATAGTTCTCCTTCTTGAAAGTCACTTTTTTTCTTTATTTTGTTTGCCTATGTATGATACTTGCAATTCTGCTTAGTGATCGTCTTTCCAACCTCCTCACGAAAATTCTTAGTCTTGTGCACCTGTTCCATTGCATCCTCACTAATTTCTGATGTCGACAAGGACAGTACTAATTCAAATGGAGTGAGCGGGTTGCGTCTATATAAAACCTCAAATGGGGTGTGTCTTGTAGTTTGACTCAGATTTGTCGTAAGCAAACTCAACCTAAGTTAAAATCATGTCTCAGTGCTTAATATTCTTCCCAACAAAGCATCTCAGCATATTTCCAAGACTCCTATTCACTAGCTCACTTTAACCATCCGTCTGTAGATGGCTGCGGAATTGAATTAAAGCTTAATGCCTAATTTTCCCCACAGTGTCCTTCAGAAGTGACTCAGAAACTAAAAATTCCAGTCTGAAATAGTAGTTTTGGGTTATCCTGTGCAAACTTGCAATCTCCTTGAAGTACAAGTCAATGATATGTGATGCATTCAGTGTCCAATGACAGGGTACAAAATGTGTTACCTTCGAGAATCAATCCATCATGAATGAATCCTTGTTCCACTGTGTCATCGGGAGGCCCACCAGAAAATCAATGCTGACAACCTCCCACGGTGCATTTGGTACTTGTAATGGGGCATATAACCTTGTGATCTGTCCCATGGTCTTTGTTACATGACAAAGCTGACATTGCCTGGCATGTCACTTCAAATCTCTCACTAGTTGAGGCCAAAAAAATTGTTCTCTCGCGAGTGCGAGAGTCTGGTCATGACAAAAATGCCCTCTAAGTCCTCCACCATGACTTTCCTGAACAATGGACTTCCTCAATAAACATCTAGGAACACACAACATAATCCATTACTATCTCAAAACCCATGACTCGAGCCTGTATCCCAGTGATCAACAAGCGAAGGCTACTCCCCGCCTTGTGCTCAAGCACGAACTGGAACAATGCTAAGAACTCCATC